GAGGAGACCGCCGTGCTGGGAAATAGAGCCACAAAAAGCGACGGCTCCCCCCCCCGCGTCTCAAAAAGAAAAAAATCTTAAAAAAAAAAAAAAAAAAAAAAAAAAACGTGGGACTGGAGTCTTAAAAAAAAAAAAAAATTAAAAAAACCAACCAAAACCCCACCCTCACGCTGACACACAATCTCGCCCTTTCGGAGCGTTTTCCTGACGCGCACTTCGTGGCGCTGCCTGCTGAAGGTGCATTTGTGTCGGTAGCTTGCTGGTTGGGGGCTTTTCTGGTTTATTTTTTTTATTTTTTTTTTTTAAGCTCTTCGGCCTTTGTGGTGCAGTGCAGGAAGGGGAGCATCGGCGTTTCCGTACTACAATGGGAACTTAAAATCCTCCTGTGTGCCTGCGTGCCTCCATTAATGCTTCAAACCATAAAATACAAGCGGTTGCCTTTTGCATTGTCTCACTGTATCACCTTTTACTGTTCCAGCCCTTCTTATGTGCGAGACGCTCAGTTATTTTTCCTCTCAACTTTCTATTTTGATGGAGTCAGCGTTTTTCTGGTTTTATGGTAATTACATTGGCATAAACCGCTAATTGGCTGCAGTGTTTAAAGGTGGTCAAAAAATCATGACCATAAACAACGGTCAGCTTTCTTGGTGGAACCAGCAAATACCTAGGATTTGCTGTCCAAGCAAGATCGAGTTAAACCTATCAAAAAATAAAAAGTTTAGCTCTAGACAGCGTTAATCGGGCAGCTTGCCATTTTCTGTGCCCCTGAATTTGCCTGGTACTTTCCAGGCAGTGCTTGTACACCTTTCCCCCCCCACACACACACACACTTTTTTGGCGATTAATTTCTGGACACTGTTGCCAGGCAGGAGATAAAAGGAAGCCGAATTACTAAATTTAATCTTACACGGCAGACTTTGTGCAGATAGCTTAATGCTGTTAAAGAGCCATCTCTATTTCACTTTAACTAGGAATCGCCGTGGAAAGCATGATTTCCATTACAGATCTTGCAGGCAGGCCTTGAAATGGCAGCAGTTGCAACTGTGTCACTGTTCAGAGGCGGGATTATAAATTAAGGCAAATGAACCTCTGCTTCTCTGTAAGGTGAATCTGGCAATCTTGCCTACCCTTCTGTAGGTAAGGTTTGGCCCTGCATCCAGCAGTTAATATGAACGGACCAGAGACCCTTGTTTCTGGGACGCCGCGTTCTTAACTGCTGTAACGAGTGTGTAAATCTCTTTTATTCTGGAAGAGAAGCCCATGTGATGTATAAAAAGTGTGCAGGTGGAATAGCATGTTGTTGTGGTTTTTTTTCCCCTCCTAGACGATGACAATTCAGAAGAAGGCCTTCACACCATCCATTCGGGAAGGCACGAATATGCATTCAGCTTCGAGCTTCCACAGACGTAAGTGCCCGCATGCAGTCCTTGGGCCCTGCTGCCCACCCGCCTGAGCAAAACTCCTGCTGTGGGTGGAGGGGAAACCTTTTCAATGGTAGCAGGAATTGTGCTCCGACATGCAGCGGAGGACATAATCTCATTAAACTGAAGAGGTTGCTTTTAAACTGATACACACTTCCTTTGTCTTTTTTTTTTATTCCACAAAACTTTTCAATGGTAGCAGGAATTGTGCTCCGACATGCAGCGGAGGACATAATCTCATTAAACTGAAGAGGTTGCTTTTAAACTGATACACACTTCCTTTGTCTTTTTTTTTTAATTTCCACAAAATGGGAGCTCATTGCTGCCCAGTTGCTCACTTTCTTTTGACCAAGTCCTGCTGACTTACTAGGTCTTCCAATATTTTACCCCTTCCCAAGAGGAGGGAGAGGAATTTGAACTGTCACTGGAGTACTGCAGAGTGGCTGAGATACCTTCTAACCCAACCAACAGTTTACTGGAGCCATGCAGACCAGCAGAACTAGAGATAAGATCACAGCTGAATTGTTTGGGCTCAGTCTGGAACAGATGTGGCAAGTTTAACTGTTTGAACAAGAGAGGAGGTGGTTCTCGCTTAAATAGGATGTATGTACCCAGGCTGGCCTTTATACAGAAAGCCTGGATGGAAATAAGCAGAAGGATGGGGTGGATGAAGCAAGAAAAATTCCTGTACCTAATCCCATTTGTCTCAGAAAGCAAAGGTGAAGCAAGAGTGAGAGCAGAAGTGTTAAGATCATTACCCACCCCCAAAGTCCGAAATGTGTAATGTAGACATTGTGAAGGGAAGATTTATACATAGAGGACTTACCAATATGGAAATCGGCTAAAAATACAAGTTTCAATAGAAATAAATACACAGGAACAGAGGGAGTCTCAACATGGATGGAAAAAGGAGCCTTTTGCTGTAAAAGGCAAGCAGTGAAGTCATTAAGGTTGAGAAAATTTGGCAGCATGTTATGTGAAATACCTCAGTACCTAATATTAAAGCTAATGAACCATCTGTTTGTTAGAGCTGCTGGTTTTAGCAGAACCTGCAGATGATAAACGCTTTTACCGGTCAGTTTCAAAGTGAACAGCACAGGACTTTACAGTAGAACTTGCTGGAAGAGTGGAGAAGACCTGTATACATAGAGATTTTTAAAGACAATTTAGCATTCTGTGCAAATCTCAACTACAAAAAGAAATAAGGCTAATACTGATCTTGCCTTGGAAGGGGCATTTAAGTATGAAAAGACGAAAAAATGTTACACACGAACATGAAATGCTTCGCTTGAAGTGAAGCAGATAGCCAGCAAAATATCACAAGCATTGGTCAAAACACAGGTTCTTTTTAAGGGACCTGAAAGAATAACTGTGAAACCAGCTGTTGATAATACTGAAAAAACAAAAGCTGGTATTAAAAGCCTGAAGTTTGACACCGCCTACTTACTTGTTATTCTGTGTCCATAGAATACTTCCAAAATTTACTTAAACTACAGAGCAACAGCGGAAAGATGACACGTTGGCCTTACTGATTTTTGCCCTAAAGAATATGGGGCAGGATGAAATACTGAAGACCAATTAGAAAATCCTTTCGTTTGGATTACTGGGATAAAAAAGTAAACATTTCAGATGTGCAAGTAGAGAAGTCAAACCTGTAACTGAAAGAATCATTCTAGTTGAAGTACTAGCATGGCTAATATTACTCCCTGTGGAAGACATGGAAGTTTTGCAAATAATTTATGTTTAATTTATATATTGCAATGTATTCAAAACTCAGTATAATAGAAAAAATTTACTTGCATAAAAATAAGGAAAAAATAAGTTATGGAAAACTACTGTTAATTGGAGATAACTGGAATATAAAGATTTTTGTCTTTCATTTTATGATGTTACAGGAAAAAAAGGTGATGCTGAAAGGTTTGGAGATCCTTTCCACTTCATTTTTCTCCAGCTCCCAAAAAGGACTTCTTTCATCTGCCAAAGTTCAGAGCAGAATAGGCTTGATGATTTTATGTGTGTGTGTATATATGCTTATATATGTACATCCGTATACAATATAAATGTTTTAAGCTGGTCTCATCAGGGTAGAGGAAAATTAGAAGGTACTCAAAATAGCCTCTCTCTTCAGAACTCTAAATTGGAATATTTACTCTGCTTAAGGCAAAACAAACTACAAAAGTGCTGAGTTGCAGCTAAAATTAAGCTGACACTGAGATACCAGCCAAGTAAACAATAGACAATGATTTACAAAATACGATATCCAAAACAATAATTGGTTGATACTAATGCTAATTTTAAATTGGTAGTCCTAATTTGGCCTTAAAAGGGCATGCTTTACTCTAGATGTGAAAGTGGCCTCTTAAGTTTAAAGGAAATGTGTATTCTCCTGGCATTTTCTAGTACAATTCTTCAATTGATTCTTAAAATCTATGCAAAACTATAGTAGGATGAATCGGAGATGATTTTTTCTCCCATCTTTAATCTTGAATTTTTCTGAGATATGGAAACTTTGCAAATAAGTTACGCTGCATTAAATACTACAGTGCATTAAAAATGCAGTTCTACATACTAATCCCTGATCTGATCAATTGTATCATTATTAGACAGAAAGACTTTACTCAATTTTGACCTTTGTGTCCTGCACAGACCACTTGCTACCTCATTCGAAGGCAGACATGGCAGTGTGCGCTATTGGGTGAAAGCCGAATTGCATAGGCCTTGGTTTCTACCAGTAAAATTAAAGAAGGAATTTACAGTCTTTGAGCATATAGATATCAACACTCCTTCATTACTGGTAAGAATTGACAGAATTACTAATTCTTTGTTTCTGGCATAAAAATAATGAGGTATAATAAGTGAAACAATATCCACATCTAATTTTACCTAATATTTATTCGCTAGTTTAATTACAGCTGATCTTCTAAGCATTACTTCAGTTCAGCAACTCTTTAACTACTGGTATTTTGAAAGCTACATTTTCCTGTACTTGGAGTTGCTTCACATTTAAGATACGTAAAATGGCTTTGTCAATTTAAGTTGATAATACTAAATTGTAAAATGTCACAAAGAAGGAAAATTTTGTGAACTGTTCCACTTTGATTTTTGAATAATCTGTGGAAGGAACAGTGAAACTTAATATTATAATGAGACTGCTAACTTAAAAATGTAAAGCAAAAAATGTACTGGCGTGCATAATTGATAATTTCCATATGGATAGTTTTCTACCAATGGGGAGAAATTATCATAATTCGGTATAGTCTTTTTCTGAAATGTCATTTCACTAAAACAATTTCAGTATCACAACTGCTTTCAATGAGGATTTGATTTCAATCTGGCCTTAAAATTCCTTTTCTTTTTTTTCCTCCTCTTCCTCAAGTTCTAATCTATGGAGGGGGAAAAAAAACTCAGAGTCCATTGAAATAGGTTTCTTGTGTGTATGGGTGAAAAATCAGACTTGCAAAGGGACATTGGTGTTGCACAAATTCCATTAAAATCAAAGGACTCGCATTTGACTTTAATGGGCTTTGGATCCAGTCCTGAATCCTGATACCATGTAAAATAACAAAGTCTGTTTAAGATAGATGAAACAGGATCATTCCAAAACAGAGCAAATAGCAGGAGTCAGGGTTACAGTACTTTCGGTTTTTTAGTTACTGTTTCTGAAATACAGTGTACTGGAAAGATGTTCTAGTTTACTGATAAATGAAAAGCTCTGCCAACAACGTGTTGGGATATGTAGGCTATAAAGCCTTTTCTTAAGTTACACAGTTTTTATGTATAAAAACTGTTCTAAGTGTGACTGTAGCATGAAGCGTAGCAGGAAAAGCAGTGTTAATGCGTAATGGAATCAGAATAAACGTCGTATCTGTATAGTGCCATTTAAACTGCTTGAGTTTTTTCCTATAAGTAAAACTAGCTATGTTTATCAAAATATGTAATAAATACATCATTAAAATAACTTTTTGTGTTGATTAAAATAGATGAAGAGATTCATGGAACTCTTAATTAAATGGGCAATGTTGTTCTTTTCTTGCAGTCACCCCAAGCAGGCACAAAAGAAAAGACTCTCTGTTGTTGGTTTTGTACCTCAGGCCCAATATCCTTAAGTGCCAAAATTGAAAGGAAGGGCTACACCCCAGGTACGTAACAGAAGTAATTATAGGAAATGTTTTTCCTTCCCTCTTAAAATGACAGTTTGTACTTACTGCTTTCATTTAAACGAAATACTTAAACTATTCTTACCACCTCAGTCTGCATTTGGCAGTCTTATTGCCAAATAGACTTTCTTAACTACGACTAATTTTGTTAACTAATGCTAGCTGTGTCTCCCGATTGTCGAAGGACATCTGCTTCTATTAGACCTGTGCATTTCTCTTTTTAGATTAGCTCGTGGTGATCCTATCCCTGTTAGCATCAGTGGATGTTTTTCAAGGTAGAGCATTGCTGGCAGCATCCGGTGCATTATAACAATACACAGAATGTGGTGATTTGCTTAAGCTGCCTTGTAAATACAAAGAGAACATGAAATTCTGTTTCGTTTCAGGTGAATCAATTCAGATCTTTGCTGAGATTGAGAACTGCTCTTCCCGTGTGGTGGTGCCAAAGGCAGCCATTTACCAAACGCAGGCATTTTATGCCAAAGGGAAAATGAAGGAAGTCAAACAGCTTGTTGCCAACCTGCGTGGGGAATCCTTGTCATCTGGCAAAACAGAAACCTGGAATGGCAAACAGTTGAAAATTCCACCTGTTTCCCCTTCAATCCTCGACTGTAGTATAATCCGAGTGGAGTATTCACTGATGGTACGTTGGATGGTCTGTTTCACTCGAGCATGAGTAGTTTTCTGTCATTCCTTGCAAATTGCTAACAAAGCATTCTATGCTAACTAGTTACAAAAGAAATACATATCCTAGTATTAGCGTCCTGACAGGAGTTCTGTAAATCAGTTTAAATCATGCATGTCCTTAAAATAGTTGTGGTGTGCCAGCTAAGCAAACGTGTTATGAGTAGGCGACATTTCCATGTGAGGGCTCATGTTAAGAATCCTAAGCTGCTTTCGACTTGGGGAGCTTTTTGTCTTCATTAGGGGCATTGGCCCTAAAGCAGACAGTAAGAAACTTGTGGAAAATTCCATGGACAGAGAACTTAGTCTAATAATTATGAAGTAATGAAGTACTCGTACAAACCTACATTTTAATCATACACCTCTTTTGTTGTTGTTCTTTAGGTATATGTTGATATTCCAGGCGCCATGGATTTATTCCTTAACTTACCACTGGTCATTGGTACCATTCCTCTACACCCATTTGGTAGCAGAACATCAAGTGTGAGCAGCCAGTGTAGCATGAACATGAATTGGCTTGGTCTGACACTGCCTGAAAGACCCGAAGGTAACTTGACGACACAAATCACAATCAATTTGCTAGTCTGTTTAGATTTTTGTCTGCTTTATTCATTGCTGTTGTGCAAACAGACCCAAATTACATCCTTCGTAATAAAGCCCACAGGAAATTCCTTCTGGCTGTTTCCTTGCCACCTGCTTGTTCTGTGTAGAAAGAACAGGGTTCCTTCCCTGCCTTCCTCTCTCAAGGACAAGCAGTGAAATCCAGCTGCTTGGACTGGAGGCTGGCACAAGGGAAAGCACAGGATGCCATTGTACCTGTGCAGAATTAATTCTGCCTCCCGTATCCCAATTGCATCCTTGGTTATAAGGCATTGTAACCTGTCACAATAGCACTTTACGGTGTCCTTTACCAGCCTTAGTAGCCAAGGCTTTGTGAAAACATAATGTAATTCATGTCAATGGGAAATCTCTCTTGTCAAAGGAGAAACGCTGTAGCTCCTTCCCTCTGTTTTCTCATACCTAATAAACATCCCTTTATATGTACACATCCCAGACTCAGATTTGTGGGGTCTGGAGGAATGCCACGTTCTATCATTACTACCTGTACAGAAATTCAGTATTCTGAGTTTTCTTTAAATTTTAAGGGGATAATTAAGCCACAATAAGCAGTGGTCAGTCTGCTCTTGGATTTGAGCATGGTCTTGAAACAAAACAGCCTACCCTCCCTTTCACATTCAACGACTGTTAAAAAGTCACTGAAGTAATTTACCTACCTGCTGGTGCCTTTTACAATGATGAAAGTTTAATAGTTAATCCTGTTACATATTTTGACATGCATGAGACCTTGTTGCTCAAACTGCGTGTGCCTTTTCCCTGCAGCACCTCCTAGCTATGCAGAAGTGGTCACGGAGGAACAAAGACAGTCCAGCCTTGCACCCATAGGTGCTTGTGATGACTTTGAGAGAGCGCTTCCAGGACCATTGTTTGCATACATCCAGGAGTTCCGTTTTCTGCCTCCACCCCTCTATTCAGAAGTAGGTACCTCAGACAGAATATGATGACTAATTCACTGTTTTTCTGAATTCTGTCATGTGAATAAATGTAGGAAGTTGTTTCTCCTTCCTAAAATTGGGAGAAATCATTAAACTGATGAACAGGGGATAAGGCAGCTTCATTTTAGCCAAGTGCAGGTGAACTGCATCAAGAGTTTTCAGGATTCTTCACAATTCTAATGCTTCATAGAAATTGCCAAGCTCTTCTGTACCCTCTTGGCAACTTCATTAAAACTTTGCATTACATACATAATACATTGCATTGGTTAACACCAACATTTTGGGTCTATAGATGCACAACATGCTAATGTTTTTCAGCTCTACTTCTTTCTAAAACTACTCTTTCTGTGCATGTTTGCTTCTGCGTATGTAGTGCTTTCAGAAGTTCCACGTAGAGAAGTTACAAAGGTATTCTTTCTGACTTAGGTAAAATAGTGTCCTTTGGCTAAATCTTGCCTGAATTCACTGTTGATTTTTTCCTTCTCGAAACACTAATCTGCTATTGAGTGGGCAGAGAGGGGCACGGTTTCTGTGTGCTGGAGATTTCTCTGAGGACTTTCTATAGCTTAACCCTAGAATACAGCTCCTAAGTCCTTTTCATTTTAGGTCCTTAAAGATTTAGAAAGAAGCCTACTTTATCCTCAAAAACAGTTGTATAAAATTAACTGATAAGAATGTTGTCTAAACTATATACTGTACACTTAACCTATTCTTACTACCCAGTTTTGGAGACCCAAGTTAGCAGGTTGTTCCCCTTCTTCCTTTTCTAGAAAGGAGGAGGTAAGGTGTGGAACATGTGAACTTCTAAGACACTTTATGGGGTGTTTGAGGATTCATTACTTGTAAATTAAAAGTAGAATGACTTTTTACTGATAGCTTTTGAAGCAAAACGTCTTCTGAAATGAACTAAGTATTTCTTAAGTTACATTTTTAGTGATGGGTCAAGCTGTCTTTTTAGTGTACAGTAAATAATTCAAGATTTCTGTGCTACTAAAGCAGATTTTTTCCAGTTTTTTTATTACTTCTTTGTGCTTATCCTTAAATTGCCGTTGGCCTGTAGTTCAAAATTTTCCACCATGCTCAATCAGAATTTTGTCTAATTGACGAGAGGTTTTTCAGTTATTTGAATAACCTTTGGACTGGGGATGCCATTTATCACTATGATTGTCTTAAACTTGTGAATTTGGTGGGGTTTTGTTTGCATTGGTTTATTTCTAGCAATTGACTTTAACAATGCCTTGGGTTGTTTTGGGTTTTTTTTCCTCTTTTGGTCAGATTGATCCAAACCCAGATCAGCCCACAGATGACAGACCATCTTGCCCCTCTCGTTGAAGGAATCCATAAAAAGCTGACTTGACTTGGGTTTTGAATCGTACCTGCCGTGTTGAAGGTCAAGGCGTCATAGTGGAGACATACTTTCAAAGGAAGTGGTTTTGCTCTTGCCTGTATGGTGAATAAATGAAAACAACCTGTGATCATGCTTTGAAGCCTACAGAAACATTGTAGGACTGCTCCACATGCTTGAAGACCTGAGCTTTCCCCCCCCCCTTAAATACTGGCACATACTAGGAGCAGCCTTACTAACCTACAGTCATGTGTGTCAAAACACTCAAACCACATTGTAAGAGAGGGATGGCTTCCTCTTATGATTTGGAAATTTGCACATGCTCATTGCTTATGTTGTGCGGTTCAGTGTCACTACAGCTTTTTCTCATTATTTGTTTGTGGTCCGCACAATAAGGAGCAAAAGAAAGCTTTGACAAAAAAACACAGCAACAGACTTTGACAAATGCACTGACTTTTCTTTTTTTTAATTTAATAGCGCCTGGACTTTACCTGCATATGCACATGCTCAGAATTGTCCTAGTAGGCTGATCATGTATCACCTCTTCAGCTTGGATCCTATTGTGGATTTATTTACAAACATCAAATGCCTTCAAGCCAATCCTTCTTGCTGTATGTTTTGCAGCCTACTGTAGTAGATAAGCAACAGATGTGGGGCTGGGGTGGGGGGGGTGGAGAGTTAATAGAACGAAACTAATAGACTTCATCAAGATTGTATACCTTCTTGATTTCTTTTAAGAATTTGTTGCCTTTCTACTATTCTCGCAAAGCAGCATTTTGTTACAGACTGCCTAAAAATCACTTAATCTCAGGTGAACTCATCACTTGCCAAACTGTTGGAATGCTATTTGTTTTGTTACGTTGCACTGTTGAGTTACTTCTTTTTTTTTTTTGTTTTGTGTTTGTGTTTTGTTTTTGTTCTTTATTCGAGAGGGGGATCTGGAATAGGGACATACACAAAAGTTAGAAAACCCACCCTCATTCCCATTTCTCTTTGTATGTTAAGAAAAGAGTGAACTCATCACTTGCCAAACTGTTGGAATGCTATTTGTTTTGTTACGTTGCACTGTTGAGTTACTTCTTTTTTTTTTTTGTTTTGTGTTTGTGTTTTGTTTTTGTTCTTTATTCGAGAGGGGGATCTGGAATAGGGACATACACAAAAGTTAGAAAACCCACCCTCATTCCCATTTCTCTTTGTATGTTAAGAAAAGAGATGTTCAAGACCCTCATTCCCATTTCTCTTTGTATTTAATAAAGAAAAGAGATGTTCAAGTTGTGAAGCTTTAAAAGAAAAAAACAAAAAGGCACAAATGAAAGCCGCACCAGTAGACACCAGCTCAGCCTCAAAAGCATTTTAAAAGGAAATAGTCATACACTGTCTAGATTCATAGACAGATTGATATCTCAAGTAGTAGGGATGGGAAGGGAAAGTAAATTTATTTTTATATATAGTTACCTAATCACCAAAAATTCTATATGTAATGAGTCTCTAGTAGAAAGTATATTTCAAACTGCAGGAAAAGCTTGGACTATGCTAAGAGCTCAGTTTGTGCACTTTGTATTATCTTCAGGGTTTATGATACTGTAAAATAGTAAGACTAGAGGTATAATTAAACTGGGCAAGATCAGTGTTACCAGCTGTACTCGGATACCAGTTAGCTAGAGTTGCTTTGATGATTGCATCTTCTGTGGTACTCTCAAGAGCTTCAGAACAAACAGAACAGCGAATTTCACCATACCTTAATTCAGACTGCAAGAAATTCTACGGAAAGAGCACTCGCCCTTGAGTGTGCCCCAGGGAAGAGAAGAGTGCAATGGAGCCATTATGATGTGCTAACACCAATACCAGCACTTAGATGCTAGAGATTTATAATAAAAGTCAACTTTCCTTTTCAGAAATCGTGTAACACAGGCCATTGACAAAGGGACACGCTTCTGGTGTTGACGACTTAAATCAAGATGTAATCCATCAAGTATCTATCTCCTTGTGCAATAAAACAGCTCAGAAGGGAGCGGGAGCGGGGAGGCTGGTGTTTCTGCGTGGTGCTCGTTCTTAAAAACCTCTGCCTTGGTTTTAAGGCTTCATAAATGCGACACGATAGGCTTTTCCATAAGTGGCCTTCATGAGAACATGAACGATACTTCATGTTTCAAAAAATGACAACAGGGTGATAAAATATTTAATGAGTCGCGTTTTAAGTGATTCAGTTAAAAGGCTTGGGCTTTGAGCAGGAATATTGGACGAGAAGGAAATTGGGTGATGTCTTGCGTTATTAGGCCAATTTTGTGAATGTCCCTTCCCTCCACCCTCTCCAACCAGACAATTATAAAAGCTGATGGGATCGTTGGCATAAAAGGGCATTTGGTGGTTTTACTTTTTTTTCCTTTTTTGTTACTTTAACAGACTAGGGAACAATTGCTGATATACATAGCATTAAAGTACTTCTCACAATATAATGGGAAATTGCATATGAAGCAGGATTGACCAATATCGTAGTAATTGACATGGCATCACAGCCTTTGTGATTAGAGTGAAAAAGTCTATAACCTTACCAAATAAAGAGTTTCAGTTTAAATTACGTTGTTAGTTGTTCAGAGGCATTACTCTTCCACAAGTATTGGTCAATTCTCAGCGTTACAAAACATGAGGTTCACAGTTGTAGCCCAGTATTTGATAGAGAATTCTGATCTGAATTAGGAAAAAGTAAGTAAAATCCAAACATTAGAGAAACAAAGTGCAATATTAAATGTTTGCTTTATAGATTATATTCTATGGCTGTTTGTACTTTTCTTTTTTTGTTTTTAGTTTTGGTGCTGAATATGTCCTTGTAGACTCTGTTTCAAGAAAACAATATGTGGAAAACAATTTAATTTTTCCTATTGCTCTTCCTTGTGGAAAATAAACTTTTGTAAAAAAAAAAAAAAAAAGGCTTTTAAATGTTTTCAGCGTAAGTCATAATTCTTTATACATGACCTAAATATTCTTTTCGAAACATGTCTGTGCATAAAATAATAACTGCCATGATCACATAATACAGGAACTCGCTATAGGAACACATGTACTGCCCGCCTCAAACTAGATGGGGAAAAACTTGTTTCTAGAACTACACCGCCGAGTACCACGAAAGTGCGGTTCCAGCACCCCCGGCCCCTTCTGTTTACATCGGTGACCTCTCGGGGCCGGGTCCCAGGAGGGAAATGGCAGTTTCCTACCTCGGAAAGTGCCAGTAACTGGCAGGATACGCACGCCTTTCTAGGACGCTCTCTCTGTCGCTGCTACCGTGGTGACCCTAGTTCCAGGCGCCTGGTCCTTTCCAGGACATGGGGCTGGGGGGCAGTGGGGGGGCCACGCGCGTTTTGGTGGGGCTTGGGAGGAAATGGGGGAAGGGGAATGACTGGAAAGGTCGGGTTTGCAGCTGGGACTCGGGCACGGGGCTTGGCCGTGCGGGGTGGAGAAGGTGCCCTTCGCCGTTCCCTTGGAAGGGCCGGCGTGACCAGATGCTGAAAACGTCCGCCCGCGATCTGCGCCCTGCTCGGTGGAGCTCCGCGAGGTATTCGTAAAGCTCCCCAGCGTGCCAGCAGCGAGGCGCCGCCGCCGCCGCATCTCGCTTCCGCATACCGCGCACAGCTGAGCCTCTGACAAAAGGGATTGTCGTCATCCTTCGGTATCAACATGTCGTTTGACCTAAGAGGAGGTTCAGCCGGCGAGCAGCCAGGGGCTCGGGCAGCCGTCGCGCCCTCTTCCCCTCTGTTGGTGTTCAGGGTCCTGGGGACCGCCGCGTTCCCGTAGTACTGTACCCTCAGTTTAGCGGTGCAGCTGCCGATGCGGACAACCCAAACATCTGATCTGACTCTCCACATTAATATGAACAGTAGGACCTCCCTCTGTGAAACAGAGCGTTTCAGCTTAATTTTGAGTTTGTTAATGGTGGAGAATCCAGGCAGACCTTTAAGGGTTTTTCCCCTCCTCTTAATAACACTGTTGATCATTTTTACCTGAGTTCTGGTTCAAAACAGTAAGAAACATAAAATAAAAGATCATCTTTCATTTTGTTCATCTACTTGGAACTCCTTCATAGCTGGGTGACAATGAGAATATTTTTTTTCTAATGCCAGCACAACGCTTCGTAGTAACCAAGTCTCTAATGCTATGTGGCAGTGTTAGAATTCAAATTAGCATCAGCATCATTTAAGGGACACACACTTCTCGCAGTTCTGTGCAACGTTTTCTTGAAATCTCACATTCTTGGACCAGCATCTCTACTTAATGATTAATTTAAGCTTATCGTCAGCATTATTATAAAGTTGGAAGTTACCAAAGTTTTATTATTTTAGATCTGATTTTCTTTTTTTAAAATGCAAATGTTTCTTATTTCTGAATATTGAAATACCTGTGCGCACGTACAAACCTGTGCTACACCAGGAGGTAAAAACAGTGGCTCTTCCACGTCCGCTGTCCATAAAAATGTACAGAAGGGCGGCAAATTACAATGCTTGAGCATCTGAGCTTCTGACAGACACAAGGCAGTGTTGCAAAACTGATCAACACCTTTTCTGGCGATCATCTAGCTAAAACACGTATCTAGCACTTTTTAACCCCTTCCGAGATTTTTGTGTTTTACAGAAATGAACCGCTGACTGGCCATGAACTCCAGCCACCTTAGCTTTCCGCAGCGCGGCCACGGGCACGAAGCCCAGCTGCAGAACTGAAGAAGGGTCTCCAGAAGCAGCGCGTGAAGCTGGGCGTCCACCCGGCAACGGCTTTCCGCTGGAGAACGTCTTTGCCCGGGCGAGTGCTGCCGATTTGAACCAACCCCTGCGACCTGAGGTACGCGGCTATGGGCAGCTCTACAGAGAGTCAAATGCCCGACGTAGATTTTCGGTAGGCTAGCGCTGCAGGAGGACAACTGCTCCCGGGGACGTAGAGTCCAGACTTCCCGCGTGTCGCGGATTTTGAGCAGAGCCCCCCCTTTCAGAGGTCCGCAGAGACTCGAGTAGGTACCAGGAGTTGCACTGCATGACCGTTACTGTGGATTTCAGCTCCTAGATTTTGGTTTTTTAGTGAAAGCCACTTGCAAAGGCACATTGTCAGGCACGTTCCACCTGCCCTCCAGACCGTATCCTGGAAATAGGAGAAAAGTAACCTATTTCTTCTCCTAGCAATCATTCACTCCTGGAACTTCCCCACCTATCTACAGCATGCTATTTTTAGAGCTGGATCTCCCTGTCTCCTGACCTAGTGGACATTAGGACAGAGCGGTAGCTTCTGATTGAAGGCCAGGTGATGCCATGAAATCAGAGTTGAGCAGCGTACCTTTCACCTAATCCAGCTCATAACGGGGAAGATTCAGAGTTCAGAAGGACGCTGCGTTTTGAGTTTGCTTCAGGCAAAGCCTGGCTATAATAAATGTTTATCGTATTTGGATGAAAGACAATGACCTAGAACAGAAAAGGTGAGAGCTTTAAATATAACACAAAAATTGAGTCATTTAAATGTAAAATGTATTTTTAGGGGCGGGGGGAGGTTTAAAAAAAAAAAAAAAAAAAAGTCACATCCAGAAACTAATCTCCAAGTGCAAAGCCTGGCACTGCAAATTCCCTCCGAAAATAAAAAAAAAAAAAAAAAAAGTCACATCCAGAAACTAATCTCCAAGTGCAAAGCCTGGCACTGCACTAATTCCCTGCCGTTCCAGCAGCAGAGTCTGATGTCTTATACAAGAAAAAAATGAAATCTCTCTAAGATGGTGCATTCCATCTACCACGAGCAGCTCCCTGCAGGGTTTCCAGCCGGGGACGCTGGAGGGAACAACCAAGCGCACAGCGGTCCCCATCGCTCCCGCGCGTCACTGCCGAGGGACTCTCGCCT